CACCCTTTTCTTTTTATTCTCTCTTTTTTTTTCGTTTGTTTTATTATTTATAGCCATATTTTTATTCAAATTTATAAAATAAATTATTTTTATTTTAAAAAAAAAAAATCTATTTTTATTAAAAAAAATTTAGATAATATATTTATTAATTTTATTATTATTGTAATTTTATAAGAATTAATATTTTTTTAAATTTTAGATATAAAATAAATAAATAAAATAATATATATTAAACGTGTCCCTAACGTGTCGTGTCTCCTATTTTTTGAAAATTTGCGTATTTACGTGTCCGTGTCCGTGTCGTGTCCCGTGTCTGTGTCCGTGCATCATAGATTGGGAACTTAGGAAAACAAAGCCTTAAAAGGAGAACGACCAGAGAGAAGAGAAGTGGGCATACAATTAAGAAGAAAAGCAATAGTAAGAACTGCCTCACTCCAGAACGGAGCCGAAACATAGGCAGGAAAAAAGACTGAGCAATCTCAAGCAAGTGATGATGTTTACACTCAACCCTGTCATTCTGAGAAGGTGTATCAGAACAAGAAGTTTGGTGAATGGTGTACCCAAATTGGCCAAATACGCGCAAAACTCAGTTTTAAAGTATTCCTCACCCAAGTCAAACCACAACATTTTAATAGTAGACCCAAACTCTATGGTGATCATAGACTGAAAAGTACGATATATTTGGTAGAAGTCTAATTTATGAGTCAAGTATAGCAAGTGTAATCATCAACAAAGGACCTATAGTAAGCAAAACCTCCTTTGGTGAGAACATAAGGAACCTAAACATCAGTATAGACTAAAGAAAACGGTGTATTAGAAATAGAAATACTTTTATTAAAAGGTAATGCTATCATTTTGGCAAGTTTACACCCCCGACATTCAATAATTTGATTAGGGAAAACTTTACCTAACAATCATGAGTGAGCTAAAGACAGTAAATGGTCAACAGACAAATGGCTTTATCTAGAATGCCATAAATAAAATTGACTCGGCTAAGAATCTAACTGATAGGAAGAAAGAGCAGTCGGAGAGGTAGACAAAAGGAGATGCAAGTTTTCCACCACATAAAGGTCTCCAACTCTATAATCAGTCCCAATCTACTGCTTGGATAACCGATCCTATACATAATAGACAGAAAAAAGAAAAGATAATATCAAAACCAAAAGCATCAAGCTGACTGATAAAGAGTAAACTGATAGATAACAAAGGAACATAAAGGACAAATGGAACAGTGACGACAGACAAGTCAGATGGTAGGACAAACCCTATGGATAAAACAAACATATCAGACCCATTAACAACATTTATAGTAATAGGAAAGGAAAGGGGAATACAGTTTTGAAGTAAAGAGAGATAATGAGTCATATGAGAAGCACCAAAGTAAAAAAGCCAGACAGAAGAAGAGATACTAGAAGAAGACCCAAGCAAACCTAAATGAAGAGAGGTAAGTGCGGAGGCAAACGAGGATAGCTGGAAAGTAAAGAATATATGTTGAAACTGAGCAATCTGAGCACTCAAGGAAATCAAGTCAAGATTAGAAGCAGATGCAGCATAAGCAGCGAGAGGCTAAAAAGTACTTGATGGAAATGTGCGAAACTAGGGCTGAGACTGTTGAGAAGAGGAACGGCCTTGCTTGGGACAATTGAACTTCCAATGTCCCTTCTAATGGCAAAACACATACTCATCTAACACTAGAGGCCCCTTCTTGGGCTTGGCAGAATAGTAGAGTTGATAAGGAGACAACATCGACAATAGTAGTGGCTGAGCATGAGCTAAGAAGACCGAAGGAAACTAAGTCTGACGATGAGACGGGTTTCCTCTAGGAAAAGTTCACGAACCATAGTATCCACATGAGAGAGGAGAACAATGAAGGATGGCACTCCTGATGGCCTCAAACTAAGGACAAAGAGTCGTTAAGAACTGCACCAAACGACCCTCCTCTTGGAATTGCAAGTAAGCATCAAGTCCCTTAATGCTAGATGGTTCCATGAGGGCCAACTAATCCTAAAGACCCATCATCTCAATGTAGAAATCCTGAATAGACCGATCCCGTTGATGAGCACTCTAAATAGCTTATTCCAACTCATACCTCTGGGCAAAATTGGACTGCTAATAAACTCTCAATAAATAATCCCATACCTCCTTGGGAGTAGTGTATTTGGAAAACATCATCTCAATACAATCTTCCACGGAGTTGTGAAACCAAGTCCAAACATGGAGATTGTCGCAATCCCAAGTGTCACAAGCAGTCAAATATCCTTCCTGTTTCGAATCCGATGGATGAGACACAAATCCAAAAACATACCCTCATTTTATTCAACCAAGAAGAAAATTCATCATAACACTGGCCCAATAAGCATAATTGACACCAGTGAGTTTGCAATTGATGGCTTGGATCTAACATTCTAATAAAACAAAAATAGAGAATTGATGGGTCGAAGTATAATAACTCAAAAATTGGTACCAAGTAACCAGATAATCACAAACAGAGGGGTTAAAATGTAAATAGAAGCTTTATTACGAGGTCAACATAGTGAATCAACAAAAGAGGAGAGACCACGAACATAGGAGAAGACCACAAACATATGCGACAACTCAACTAGGTGGGTTTCTCGAACCAGTCGAACCAGACGAGGGAGGAAGAAAGAGCTATCATGAGTCATACACAGAGGAGAAGACCACGAACAGGTGCACCAAATCACCCAGATAGGCCTCTCGAACCAATCGAACCAGACGACCCAACCAAATGGATCAAACGAAAAAACCCAAATGATCGAATGAGCCAGATGAGCGCGATGGGTCATGATGAACTGATGCAACAAACAGAGTAAACTCAGATGCGGTGAGCAGATGGGTCAAATCCCAACGAACCAATGATGGGTCGTAGGATGGGTTGAACAAACAGAGGTTGCTTGTTCAAACTCAGATGAGTACGACCTCAACAAACCAGAAATCAGGACCAGAGGTCTGATACCATGTAAGATTTCTAAATGGTTTTGTATATTCAATGTGTAAACATTACATAGGGTACATCAATTTATATAACCCTAAACCTATAAATGAAAAAGGAAATACAATCAATTGAAATATTTACAGGGCTATAATCATCCCTAATTCCAAATATAGAAGATACGTACAATATATGCAATATATTCTCATAAGTGGTAGGGAAATGTTTTACACAATCATTCAATTCTACAAATAGAGGCCTTGTTCTCAAGCACATGTCCATGAATCTAAAAAGAATAAAAACACCCTTTCTAAGATGGCAACGAAGAAAAAAAACGGTCATCAAATTGGAGCCCTAGGCAAAAGTATATAAACTATTTAATTCATCAAAGCATCCCAATGAAGAGAAAAAAAGGGCTCACATCCCACCCCATTACCTACATTGGCATTCTCCTTGCCCTAGAACAAGTAGAGGCTGCGCCAAGCAATGGAAGGTCTATCAAATTTATTTCTCTTAACAAACTCAGCTGAGAGCCTCATCCATCTAGTAAGCCAAAAAAACCAATTATCTTAATGTGATTGGCTAAATTAAAGCTTCCACACAAGTTCAAAACTTTAGAGGCCAAAACTTCCTTAATGAGCTGGAAGCTGGATTTAGGTAAGTCCTCACTCTTCCTAAGAAATTGAATCTATAAAAACAAACACCACTAATATAAGACATGAGAGCTATGAAACTAGCCCATTCTTGGATATTTTTTCAAGAAGATTATGCAAAAATAAATTAATAAATAAAAATTAAAATACAAGCATATCCTTGGAATTGTAAATCACGGTATTTTAGAAGGTTACGTAACTTAGAAGTCTTTATTATTTTGTCATTAGATGCAGATTGTTATACGGTTTTGGGTAGAACTCACCCCAAAAGCTAACTATTAAGATGAGAATGCCCTCACGCTTATATGCTTAATATTACTTTAGTACTCATGCAATGTGGGACTTTGCGTTATCCCAAAAGACGAGTCTATGTAAAATACAATTGTATGACATCTATTTCCAAAATGCTAATTGTGGCAGATAAGAGCACTTCAGGTTTTGAAAATGATACTAGGGTTCAAGTATAAGAGAACCATATAACATAAAGGCATATGTCATAGGAAGATTTTGCGTATAAATAAAAACAACATTTGTGCTCACTTCCAACCCTCCAAATATTAATGACCATAAAGGTGCTATTGTCGACAAAAAATTTTGCCACAAATGATGATTTAGAAGTTAATAAGGGTTTGTTTGGGAAATGGGTATTTTAGTGGCTTTTTGGTTTTGTGGCTAAAATATAAGGTGGGAAAAAAAATGAAGTGTTTGGGAATGGCTTTTTGGTTTATTACAAAAAAATGTGCAAAAGTAAAAATAATGGGAATGAATCTTTTACTTTTTTATGAGTTGAAAACTTTTTGGCATTTTGATTATTTTAGTTGCTTTTTTACTAAAATTTTCTCATCCCGAACGGACCTAAGAAAATTTAATGAAAGACAATCATATCACAAAATTTGGGTTCTTTTACAATGGTTTAGAAATATGCATCATTCCACCTCATGATGTTAAAATACCCAACATGCAGGACTGTCAGATAGAATTGGAAACAATTATTTATACACTAAATCACTCCATAATAAGCGCTCCGAACAATATGATTAGGAAAGCTCTTCACAGCTGATCCAGAAATTATTACTGGAAGAATCGATTTTGAACACAAATTAAATCACACTATATATGGAGCGCAACCAATAATTAGAGATTGGCCACCAAAAATTTATCATTTGCAGTTTAGCAATAAGTCAAAAATGATGAGGGGTTGCAATCAATGGGTGTTCAAAATGTAATGCAGATATTTGGAGGATGTATCAACAAGTTAACATAATGAATGTAAAATATGAATTAGACACGCAACAAAACACAAGCATTCATAAATGTAACAAGACATAAAATTATCATATATTCTCTCTCTTCTCATCACAACCAGGAGAGAGAGAGAGAAGTTTGAAGGGACTCACAAGGTGATTCCATGATCTCTGTGTGGCGATAAATTTGATTTGGTAGTTAACGAGAGAGAGAGAGAGGGGTTGACGATTGGTGATGAAGAATTACCAAGCAATCAAGCTTTATGTTTGTTATGTATTGTGAAGGAAAATAGAGAAATTTTTATATCGATTGATTCATCGCCAGATTCATATGGTATTTATTCATTCATGGTGTCTCACTCATCTCCACACTGCTTTTGCGGGGCACTTGGATTGGAAGATATGGATTAATAATATCCTATGACTGTTTAGAATAACCAATCCCCTTCGGAGGTGTATCCGATGGCTCACGTTTGTTAGGATCAAAATGGTAAAAAGTAAAATTAATTAATAGAGAAAAATAAAGGTAATGTTTGGTTTAGTTTTAAATTATGATTTAGATGAAATATGTTAATTTAATATATTTTTAAGGGTAAATTATACTAACACTTCTGAAATTCTATTTCCAACACCCTGATAAACTCAGTCAACACACTTAATGAAAAATTAGATTAATGACAATTATATCCTACTTGAAATTTACTATAATAGCCATTGATCAACACTCCTAATATTATATATATAAATTCTCTATACACATCTTTTAAAAATAAAAATATCTTAATATACACTGTTTGAAACAAAAAAATTAAACCCTAATTTTTTTTTGTAGTCACTTTGCTTCTTATATACTCTGTACTCCTCTCTCTTATTTGCAAACAAAACATCTCCTCTATTGTTTTAATCTTTAAGTTTATACTCAATTATTAACATCGTTTAATTATTAGTTCAACAATTTTTATTTGATTTTGATATGGAAGAATTGCAAACCTATGACAGTTCAAACTCAAGCAATAGTGATAACAAAATCAGTGTTGAAAAGGTAAAATCGTGGAGTAATTTTTTTTCTTTTTTGCGTTTTTCAGTCGGTAATGCAGTGCTGAATTTATTAAATTAATTTGGTAATAAAATTCCGAAATAATATAAATAGTTCGTCACTATAAGTTCGATTTTTTTAATTTTTTTCGGTATTAGTGTTCCGAACAAAATCAATGTATTCAGTACTAGGAATCCGAATTTTATTATTATTTTCGTTCTTCAATTTCCGAATTTTTTTATTTATTTCGCCTCTGTAGAACCGAATTAAAATTTTCCTCCTCCTCTTCAGATGGCATGCACTGAAGAACTTGAGATTCGATCGGATATTATGGTGGATTGTACTAGTCATTTTACAGCTAAAACAGGTAATTTTTAACATAAAATTTGTAAGTTCATAATTTTGTATTAGTTAGTTTGTTTAGTTTGTTATTATGAAAGTTATGTGACATCATATATAGGTTTTCGACAGCAAAGATGAATTACTCACCTGGGTACGAGACATTGGAAGGATAAATGGCTTTGCTATTATTATAAGGGCGTCGGACTATGGTGGCGATCGTAAGAGACCAAGAATTTATCTTGCTTGTGAGCGGAGTGGGAAGTATAGATTGCGTAAAAAGCTGAAAGATGGCCCAAAAGACTTATTGAGAAAAACTGGTACGAAGAAGTGTGAATGTCCATTTGATTTAAGGGCATTCAAGTTGAAAACAAACGATGAATGGACATTGAATGTAGTTTGCGGGCTGCATAATCATCCAGCTGCGGAGCATCTCCAAGGACATTCATATGCAGGGAGATTGTCAGCTAATGAAAAGTCGCTATTAGTTGATATGTCAAAGAGCCTAGTAAGACTAAAAGAGATTCTCATTACACTCAAACAGAGGGATGCCCTTAATATGAGCACAATGAAGACAGTTTACAATGTACGACATCGATGTAGGGTTCTACAGAAAGCTGGTAGATCCCAGATGCAACAACTGCTGGGTGAATTAGCGAAACATAAGTACATTGAGCGTCATCGATGTGAGGAAGGCTCTATGACTGTCACGGACTTGTTTTGGGCACATCCAGTGAGTTTGGATTTGCTTCGTACATTCCCTCGTGTGTTGATTATGGATTGCATATATAAGACGAATAGATATCGGCTTCCTCTTCTTGAAATTGTGGGAGTAACATCAACTCATATGACGTTCTCTGTGGCTATCGCATACTTGCAAACTGAGCGGGTTGATAATTATGCATGGGCGTTACAAACATTGCGTGATCTTATGGACGACAGTGTTTTACCTGAAGTCATTGTCACAGACAGAGAGCTTGCTTTGATGAATGCCATTGACAACACCTTCCCGAATGCTCGACATTCCCGAATGCTCGACATTTGTTATGTCGTTGGCATATTAATAAGAATGTATTGACAAAATGCAAGAAAATGTTTGAGACAAAAAAAAAATGGCACAAGTTTAACACTGCATGGAACTATTTGATATTGTCATCCACTGAAGAGGAATACAATGATCACCTTGCAACACTACATAAGGATTTCAGTAACTATCCGGAGGCAATCAAATATGTTACTGTAAGTTTGTTGAATCCGTATCAAGAAAAATTCATTGCGGTACATACAGACATGTGTATGCATTTTGGCAATGTTACAACCAATTAGTAAGATTTGTTTTTTTTTTTTAATTTTTAATAAATCATATTGTTATTTTTAATTATTATGCTTGACTATTTTGGTTTACATCCATATGAACAGGGTTGAGAGTGCTCATGCTAGATTGAAGAGGCAATTAGGTTCAAGTCAAACGACATTTGAGGTTTCATTTGAAAAAATACATTGTTTACTTGTGTTGCAGCACATTCAAGTTAAAGCATCATTCGAAAAGAGTTTGACAACTGTACAACATCAATTCAAACCTTCTCAATTCAGAGAGCTCCGGGGTAATGTGTCTATTTGTGCATTGGAGTATGTGTTAGTAGAGAGCAAGAGATCAAATTTAGTTGGAATTGATGTTGCAACATGTGGGTGTGTTCTTAGGCGCACACATGGTTTACCTTGTGCTCATGAGATTGCAGATTACACGAGACAAGGCCGTCCTATTCCACTCAGTAGCATACATGTACATTGGACGCGCCTTACTATATGTGTGCATAATCCGAAGGAACAGAAGTTGGAATTGACTTGTATCCCAGAACTTGAGTTGATTTTAAAGCGGTTCGAAGAGTCTGATATTGCCACGCAATTGGATATGTTGAAGAAGTTGAGGGAAATTGCAAATCCAGCCAGCACTTTTCTTATTGAGCCGAATGTGAAACCTAATCCACGTCGAGGACATAAGAAAATTGATATATCTTGTCGTCGTAACCCATGTGCATTTGAGTTGGTTGATGATGAGCATGATAGCCAAAGCGCATTAGCTTCCAGTCAGTCAAAGAAAAAGAGAGCTTCAAAAGTGCATGAGAAGAAGCGGAATGTGAAGACAAAGGCATATCGTACAAGAACAAGTTTACCGAGTGCATATGCTGCTGACTTCCCGCCTATGTTAATACCATTCATAAAGTTGATGAAGGATGTAGATGGTGATGGGAATTGTGGATTTCGAGCTATTGCAGGTTTACTTGGTCTTGGAGAGAATGACTGGGTGCAAGTTAGGCGTGATCTGCTACTTGAATTGAATAATCACAGAGATGAATACGTCGTACTATATGGGTCACATGAGAGGGTTAAGGAGCTGACACACATCCTTTCATATTTTGAAAATAGCGCAGGCTTTGATCGTTGGATGACTATGCCTGACATGGGGCATCTTATTGCATCATTTTATAATGTAGTCTTGTACCACTTGTCATTGCAACAGTGTCTCACTTTCTTACCTTTGAGAGCACCGCCGGTAACCCTAGTTGATCGTCGCGAGATTGCCATTGGATTTGTCAATGGAAATCATTTTGTGCAGGTATAAGTTATGAAAATAACCAAACATTGTTGTCTAATATTTGTGTAATTGCAAATTTTATGTATTTGGTAAAGATATGTAATTTTTTGGATGTATGTGCAGGTGTTTTTGGAAGCCGGTCATCCAGTTCCTCCCATTGCCGTGCTTTGGCGAGTTCACCATCACCCTTGTGCGTCAGAATGAGAGAATGCATATGTCAGCCGCATTCAAAAATTCAAAGACAACATAGGACCTAATGTAGCTACTCGAGAGACATTTGATGTAGTTGACATAGATTGAGGTATTACAGAGTAGTAATGAGAGGGTTAGGACATTAGTTTTTATGATTTACTAGTATATAGTAACGTGGTAGATAGCATTTTGCCATTGGATTTTGTAATGGTCAGTTTTGTTTTACAAAATATAATATTATAGTTCTCCAATTTATGGAATGGATGTCATATTATTTTTACATTGTCTGAACACAAAATGTAATGAAAATAATATTAACCAAGTGCAATTGCAGTTAAAATGCCATTGGATTAAACAAGTATGTAAATAAAATATATATATATATATATACTAAATAGTAGTTCAATCCATCCGCACCATCACAAACGACATGTCTTCTTGTACATAATCCAAAAGATACATAATTCGAAGATAATAATAATATTTGTCCCCTTATACATCTACCAACATCATCAAAAACTACTTGTGCTAACATTATGAACTACTATTAACTACATGACCGGCGAGTATAATGTGCACCAAAACGATGTGCAGTGGAAGAGCTGGGTGCAGACCGACCCTGAGTGGATGTGCTGGGCGCAGCTTCACTAATGTGCTGATCTTGAAGAAGTTGTTCGATTGCATCAATTGCGTAGTAAAGCCTATCAGGATGTTGAACACTGTCCTCATAGCCAGCCTCAATGAAAGGATGAGTAATCTGATGTATCTGTGACATACGCTGCATTACAAGAACAAATATAACATTATGTACAAACTTGTAACAGTTTACATAAATAATTTGCAATGTAAATGAAAAAAAGGATACATGTGCGTCTTGGTTAGGATACTGATAATGATGGATATTCGGATCCACTTGAGAACGACGCGATGGGTTTTGTACGTACATATGGGTAATGGTTTGGTACCAATCCATGTAACCAGGAGCACAATCCCAAGGTTGCCGTACCGGTGTACTCCTCCTTCGATCAGATAACACATGGTTGTCCCATGCCTCCCAAATGATGTCCAAGTATGCATACATAACATTGTAGCGTGGAGCTGTGGCTCCTCGAGAAGCATGCATAGGGCCAAGTGGTGGATTAGGGATTGTCTGCACTCTGCTAAACTGTCTCAACGCTCTATCAGGGTGATATGGTTCAACTACTTCCAAACACTTTAGGCAACCGTGGTAGAACGTAACTGAATGACATGGATGGACATCTCTGCAACTCTGGTACGGGTCCCAAATAACCTACAAACAATAAAAACTGTAAGATATGACAATTGTAAATTTTGTATGATATAGAATTTCAAATTTTGAAGGACTTTTCAACTTACATCATGTACACCCAACCTATCAAGCTCCTCTCGAAAAGCCTGCAACTGTGTCTCTTTACCATACTCTCTTCGAGAAGTCCAACAGTAAACATGTGGCCTGTCTCGAGTGTAATTCATATTCAAGTGTGGTCGGAATCCACGAAAGTGCTCATAAATCCACCCCTCAAGGAGTGTCATGTAACCGGCTATTTGTTTCACGCCGGACCTGCTAGCGTACCCCAACTGTCTATATAAGTATGCCAATGTAGCAGCACCCCAAGCATATGAAGATACAGTCGTCAAATCGGACAACAAACTCAAATAAACAACAGGGGCCCTAGTACATGTCTTGTCACTAAAAAGTGTACAACCCAACAAAAATAGCAAGTATGCTCTACTTGCACATGCAATTCTTTCCATTGAATAATTGTCTGTGACATTATGAAACTGTGCCCTCAACCACTCAAGCCTCACTGAATTGCCTCCAGCAGTAGACATCTCATGTCTGACTTCTTGCTCATCAATTTCCAAGGTATTAACTACTAATGTAACAGCCCGCCTTTCTGACAACTTACGCACGCTAATAGATTTGCCTACAATGGGAAGCCCTAGGATAGTAGCGACATCGTCCAATGTGATAGTCATCTCTCCAACAGTCAAATGGAAGGTGTTTGTCTCCGGTTGCCATCTCTCAACAAAACTAGACACTACAATTTTATTGACAAAGCGGTATGTGCAACGAGCTAATTGTGCAAGTCCTGGCATCTCCACAATGTTTACAAATGTACTGTTGTTTCCTTGTTCCCACCATGGCCACGAACGAATCTTAGATGAGTGATTATGACACTTTAAGGGCCCCCTTTCATCAGCACCATTCCAAATAGCTGCGGCAACATGACTTTTAAAACTTTTAAGGATTGATGAATCAGTTGGACCTCCCGGAAATGGCTGAGTAAGGATATCTTCATCAACAATGTCAGCATCATCACCAATAGGGTCATCATCCATAGCAATATCATCCATAACTGGTGCCCCATGTATAGGATCATCATCCATGGCAATGTGCATGTCATCATCCATGGCAATGTGCATGTCATCATCATATACTCGAGCACGTCCACGTCCACATCCACGTCTCTCTAATTCATGGAGTCTTCTGTTCGAAGCTGTTACTGATCGATGTTCACTAGGACCGACATCTATTTGCATAAGAAAAGTTGTTCTTATCAACCCAATGTAATGAAACATAATAAGCACATCCATAAAAGGATCACATCAATGCGGGTAATAACTAGCCTAACCATGCCACCTTAATGAAATCTAATACACAGTTATAGACCATTAAATTCACAATTTGGATGTGAAATTAACTCAATCTTTTAATACTATATATAATGCAATTGTTTTGTTCACCTATTTAGCTAACAAAATTTATGAAGACCCAACTACTAAGCTAACAATATCATGTGAACATACCAATACTGTACAGTTTTTTGTTTCTATTGTTATGCATTCAATTTGGGGAAAAAAAATAAATACATAAACATACCCATAAAATAAAATTGAACCTAAAGTAAAACAAATATTGGTGGCCTATGTAACCTAGTTCTATATCAGAAAAAAAAAACCCAATTCGGCACTTCAGGACCGAATCTACAAAAATATTTCATCAATAAAGTTCTGAAATTATTGCATTTATTCGGAATTAGAGCACCGAAAATATAGAATACATTCGGTTTTGGAACAACGAAGTTATCTATTTTTTTCGGAAGTCAATGGACGAAATTATGCATAATATACGGAAGTCAAGTTCCGAATGAAAAACATATTTTCGGAAACCCAGTGCCGAGCACCTCAAGTCGCAAATCTAACCTACTTTCATGCCAATGGAGTGAAGAGAGATCCGAAAATTGTCAATCTAATAACAAAATGATAAATGTAATAATAAAATTGAAGGATTTCTTACCTTAAACAAGGTTTTCAACAGTGTTTACTAGATATTGAATGGAGCTCTTGAAATCTTCAATGGAGGTGAGGAAAGTGCAGATTTTTTTTTTGGTTTCCTGTTTGAACTTCTTTTTCTTCCTTCTTGTTTGAAGTACAGATGTAAATTGAGGCCACTTTGGTCTTCACGGGAGTGGGTGGAAATTCAAGTGTGTATTTTGAGGGTAAAGTGTGTGTATATATGAGTGAAGGGGTTATTTGTAATTTTAAGGATGTGGGTTGAGATAATTACTTAATAATTAAATTAATAGAGATGTGTATTGAGAAAAGATTTGCCCTGAGTTTATCAGGGTGTTGGAAATAGAATTTCCCTGAAATTTGGTTGGATTAAATCTCACCTCTTGACGTTTTAAAAATTATATTCTCACCCTTATAGTTAATAGTTTCATTTCACAATTCTATTACTTGTATAAAAAGGCAACCTTTGTAAAAAAATTGAGAAAATTATATTTAAAAAAAAAAGTAAAGCAAATTAAAGGGAAAAAACAAAACAGAGGAAGTAAAGCAAAGAAAAAAAAAACAGAAAATACACGAGTTCAATCTCTTCATTCCGTCTAAATAATTACAATACTAGGGGAGTCAGGGTAATTTTCCAAACGTTAAGGGGTGATATGTATTAAACTCAAATCTCAAGAGAGTAAGTGTAATTTATCCTATTTTAAAATACAACTCAAAATTACTTTCAAAACTCCTCTCTTCTCTCTATTTTTTTTTAATTATTATTAACCAATAAATCAATCACTTTTTGTTTCTCATCTCTCATCTCACATTCTATAGATCAATCAATAAATAAATAAAAAATTACAAATCATCCCAAAACTATTTTCAAAACTCATAACTGAGCAAATTTACTATTTTCAAATCATGATTCAAAAATTCAAAACTCAAAATACAAATCCACACTTAAATCATAATTCTACAACTAAACCAAACAGACCCAAAGCATGAAAGTAGTGGAAGTTATAAGAAAATTAATATTTTTTTATACAACTCATAATAGCATGCAGTGTGTTTGGTTTCATCATTTGCAGTTTAGCAATAAGTCAAAAATGATGAGGGGTTGCAATCAATGGGTGTTCAAAATGTAATGCAGATATTTGGAGGATGTATCAACAAGTTAACATAATGAATGTAAAATATGAATTAGACACGCAACAAAACACAAGCATTCATAAATGTAACAAGACATAAAATTATCATATATTCTCTCTCTTCTCATCACAACCAGGAGAGAGAGAGAGAGAGAGAGAGAGAGAGAATTTTGAAGGGACTCACAAGGTGATTCCATGATCTCTGTGTGGCGATAAATTTGATTTGGTAGTTAACGAGAGAGAGAGAGAGGGGTTGACGATTGGTGATGAAGAATTACCAAGCAATCAAGCTTTATGTTTGTTATGTATTGTGAAGGAAAATAGAGAAATTTTTATATCGATTGATTCATCGCCAGATTCATATGGTATTTATTCATTCATGGTGTCTCACTCATCTCCACACTGCTTTTGCGGGGCACTTGGATTGGAAGATATGGATTAATAATATCCTATGACTGTTTAGAATAACCAATCCCCTTCGGAGGTGTATCCGATGGCTCACGTTTGTTAGGATGAAAATGGTGGAAAGTAAAATTAATAGAGAAAAATAAAGGTAATGTTTGGTTTAGTTTTAAATTATGTTAATTTAATATATTTTTAAGGATAAATTATACTAAGACTCCTGAAATTTAGTTGGATTAAATCTCACCTCTTGACGTTTTAAAAGTTATATTCTCACTCTTATAGTTAATAGTTTCATTTCATAATCCTATTACTTATATAAAAAGGCAACCTTTGTAAAAAAATTGAGAAAATTATATTAAAAAAAAAAGTAAAGCAAATTGAAGGGAAAAAACAAAACAGAGGAAGTAAAGCAAAGAAAAAAAACAGAAAGTACATGAGTTCAATTTCTTCATTTCGTCTAAATAATTACAATACCAGGGGAGTCAATGTAATTTTCCAAACGTTAAGGGGTGATATGTATTAAACTAAAATCTCAAGAGAGTAAGTGTAATTTATCCTATTTTAAAATACAACTCAAAATTACTTTTAAAACTCCTCTCTTCTCTCTATTTTTTTTTTAATTATTATTAACCAATAAATCAATCACTTTTTGTTTCTCATCTCTCATCTCACATTCTATAGATCAATCAATAAATAAATAAAAAATTACAAATCATTCCAAAACTATTTTCAAAACTCATAACTGAGCAAATTTACTATTTTCAAATCATTATTCAAAAACTCAAAACTCAAAATACAACTCCACACTTAAATCATAATTCTACAACTAAACCAAACAGACCCAAAGCATGAAAGTAGTGGTAGTTATAAGAAAATTAATTTTTTTTTATACAACTCATAATAGCATGCAGTGTGTTTGGTTTCAATTTTCTGAAAATTAAGTTTTTTTATTTTTCGTGTTTTTTTATTTTTAGTGAATATTTTAAAAAATTTAAACAATTTTTATACTTTTTTAAATGCACCTTACTTAAATGTATCTAACAATGAATAAATATTTGTAAAAAATATATACATATATATTTTAAAAAACAATAAATACACAAGAATACGAAAAATATACTGAATTCTCGTTTTTTTTTTTTTTTTTTTGCATTTTTGGTATATAGTGAATTTTCTAAAAACAAATTCACAAATATTATACTTTTTAAGTGTATTTATGTTAGGTGTATCTAAAGATTTTAAAAAAAAAATTGCTTAAAATATTAAAAAAAATTCAGTGAAAACAAAAAAAATACGAAAAACAAAAAAATTTTAATTTTCTGAAAAGTGAATCCTGAAAATCCAAACCAAACTTTTCAGAAAGTTTAAACTTATTATAAAAGTAGTTACTTATAATTAGAATTTCTATTTTCTTATAAAATTTTCTTCCTAATCAAATTCATACAGAAAATATATTTTCTTTTTCTTTTCCTTTTCTTTTATTTCATTACTTTCTACCATTTTCACTTTTCATAATTCTCTAATCAAATGGAGCCTATATGTTTGGATTAGGAAAACTCTGCTTACACCACAATGTTACCTATTACACCTATTTTCTTATTATATATCTTTAAAAAATAATTGAAATTCTCATTACACCCTTTATAATATCAAAACTAACCCTAAATTGAACCATTTTTAAAATCTCTAGAGATTTTTCTCATTACATCTATTCTTTTTAAATTACTCCGGTGTTATATTACCGAACAAACTATATTTGTTCAGTCATCTGTTGCCGCACGTTTACAAATTCACTTCCTTTATCATTTTTGTTTTCTAAATTTATGATGGGTTTGTTCTTATACATCACCAAACAATTTGAATTATTTTGGTATCATATTACCAAACAAATTAGATTTGTCTAGCCATCTGTTGCCACACGTTTACAAATTTACTTTCCTTAAAATATTAAACATCCATACAAACATGAAATGTATGTTGGAATTTATACCATGTCCCACCAATGCGAATGAAAGTACACACACAGAGCAAAGAGAGAAAACAATCACACGCAGATTTACGTGGTTCGGCCCAAATTGCCTACATCCACGGAAGAGAAAGTATAGAGAATACATGTAAGATGGCCAAACACTCAAAACCCACACCACTACTAGCTTAAACCCTATGCTCAAGGGTAGCTGAGTCCTTGCTTACCTGGTGACCATAGCATTTTCTCTCTCACTCCTTACATCTGTATTTTTTCCCTCACCTCAATCTCCCAGTCTCTCTCACAAAAATCCTATAGTCCATATATGAGAATCCTAATTCCATACAATAGGTAACCAAATCTTACACATTAGATTTCCTAGTAAATTTTAGACTCTACTATCCTAACCCAAATACATGTATAAATCAACCTAATAACTATATGAGACCCACCTTTATCACTTGGGTGGATTAATCCTAACAGTATACAAACATCCATAAAAACATTCATAAAATTTGTCAATACAAATATCTATAAAAACACACTAAGTCACAATCCATCTATTTTTTTGGATGAATAATGTTGGAAAATTCATAAGTGAATGGAATTGACTCCATTCGAATGGTAAAATGTAACTCTTCATAGTGCCTCTTCATTATAAAAGGGGTGACCTAAGGATGGTGTCTTCATTTTAAAGGGTATGACCCAAGGGTCATGTTTCTTCTTCGTGTCTTTTCTGTTTAAACTGAATAGGTGTCAACAAGCCTATATAAATACAGCTCCCATTCCAATTTTTT